CGCCTTATCACTCTTTTTTCACCTAGTTCTCTGTCTTGTTGTATTGGCTCTTACAATCGCTTTTTGTACCATTCCTCATAAGCAATACCAGAAGAAGAGGCTTCTTCGGTTTCATTAGCTGTTGCCATCATTATATTAACAATTCCTATTCATGTTCTAATTGATCAGCTTGCACATTACGGAATGGAGAAGGATCGTAATGGTCTCCTCAGCAGTTTTCTCATTGATTTTTCAGCATTTTTGCAATTTGAGTCATCTTTTAGTCTTACACTCAATCTGCTGTGTGCAAATTCTGCTTCGCAGACAAGTTGGCGCTAAATCAATGGCAACTTCCAATGAAGTTTTGTTTCTTACACCTTTTTATACATGCTGATAACTTAGAAAATGATAAATAAAGTCTATATACTTTTTTATAGAGACTTCATTCAGTAGTGCAAAGATTTATATGAAACTTTACCAATTAGCAAACCTAAAACATAGCAACTATGGGTAAAATTAGACGGAACGAAAGGAAGTACCACTTCGGTTGGCAAGTGATCAGCAGTCTTGGAAAACTAATTCCATTGCTCTATGCAAAGTCACATGCTGTAACATTTACAGTTTTGACACTTGTATGTGCCATAGGAAGTAAGTTGTGATAATTGTTCAAAAAAAATGTGATAACATTGTAGACATTTAGTTCAGATGAGGTTGCGGCTCAGAAATCCGGCACAATGACCGGTCGTTTTTACAAGTGTTTGCTCAATAGGGATAAAACAGCATTTTGGAATACTTTTGCCTTAGCAACGGGCATATATGGCGGACAGTGTTTGGTCAGCATTTTCCAAAAATAAATCTTCTGCAATTATTTTTCTGATAATTATAGTTACTCGCTGGGGTTTCACTGTTTTCATGGTGTCTTTACTTATGTTTTCGTAAAAATCTTGTCATATCACTGCATCGGTTGTACTTCGATCACAACTTGTACTACACTCTAAATGGCATAGACGATAAAGGAATTGATAATTCGTAAGTGAATTTACATTCTGTCCAATTCCCTCTATATTGTTTCATTTTCAGTGATCAGCGTATAACCCAAGATGTGGAAAGGCTATGTAAATTGCTAGCTACGAAAATCACGCCATCGTTATTAATAGCACCTCTTGTCATAGGATTCTACACTTTTAAAACCTGGCAGACGTGAGTGATCATTTTTGCCCCTTGACTGAGGACAAGTGCGACTGCTGTCATCCACATCTCTGAAGAAAAAGCAATATGTAAAAATCGTTGTCAGCATTTTTATTGAAAAAAAAGCTCTTTGCCTTTGTGAACATAGCGTCGTCACTTCCCAGTGCAAAGCGTTCTTTTCCTGAGAGAAAAATAATAACTGTTGCGACTCGGTGGGCTCTGTTCACCCCTACGCTGTACTCAACTGCCATGCACCTCAGCTCCTTCCCCCTGACTTCCGCAACGGGGCGTCAACCCACAACGGCGCTCCACACCAACCCCGAAGAACAACATATATATACGATTTTATCGAAGAAGAAAATAATACACATTTTAAAGAACCAAAATACCACGGAGAGGATTAAGTTCAACCCCGGGGTAGATAAAACATCAACTATACTCTCTTCTCTGACACATTTTCAGACTCTCCCACTTCCAAGGGAGCTGACCCATGGGTCGACCGCACTTGCCATCAAGCCAAT